ACTTCCCCGAGGGCGGACTCAGCCTGGCTGAAGCAGCAGCAACACTGCCTCTGATGTAGTACTGTGTCTGTGCAGCAGGAGGCGCTGTGTTTCAAGGACTTAATCAGCCACAAATGAAGCTTTAAAGGGACCCTAAATGTTTCTAACTCACCTCTGTCACAAAAACCGTTTCATTTAGGGATTACATTTCCTGGTATTTTAATAAATAATCACTTTAAAACACAACTATTGATGCACAGTTGAGAGGACCTGAAGTAAATCAGGACGACCGATGGAGACCAGAGGAAACCGACTCCGAGGGTGTAAAACTGTAGAGGAGTAACATTTAATATAGAGTCAGAGGAAAGAAACTAACATGTGTTTACAGAGTAAACAATAAATGTCCTGGAATCATAGAGCTACTATTAGTCCTAGAACCCCCCAAGGTGCTTTACAACACATCAGTCCATGCACTAGTGGTGACGAGCTACGTCGTAGCTACAGCTGATCTGGAACACCTTATTTCCTTAGAAATAAAACGTTTAGTTTTACATTCATGTTACAAGAATGTCTCCGCTGTTAGCGAGTAGTTTGTTAATAACATCACCGTTAACTCTAAAAGCTTTTTCTGCGTTAAACGTCAGACAGATCTACTTGTTTCATATGGGGTGCCATTTGTAAAGTCAAACAGTCATAATCTAACAGCAATATTTTTGGTTATTTAGCATATCATAAGAGAAAAAATTGAGAGTTCACTTTTTCAAAGTCACATTTTCACCATGTTATTCATACATTTATAAATGTTAAAGTTTCAAAATATATATTTAGTTAGCAAGCTAAATATTTAATTTATAGTTAAATATTTATGTTGCAAACTAAATATTTAGGTCTGATCTAAATACTTAGTTTGTAAAATAAATATTTAATTCACTAGCTAAATATTTAATTTACTAATTAAATATTTATTTTGGAACTAAATATTTAAATTGTAAATTAAATATTTAATTTGTAAATTAAATATTTATTTTCCAAAAAAATATTTAGATCCCAGCTAAATATTTATTTTCCATGATGTTATTTAGCTCCACACTATATTTTATATTTTTGGGTCAGACTTAAATATTTATTTCCCAAATACTGATTTTGCAAACTAAATGTTTAGCTCCAAAATAAATATTTAGCTGGGATCTAAATATTTATTTCGGGAAATACATATTTAATTTACAAATTAAATATTTAATTAGTAAATTAAATATTTAGTTGGTGAATTAAATATGTATTTTACAAACTAAATATTTAAATCAGACCTAAATATTTAGTTTGCAAAATAAATATTTAACTGCAAATTAAATATTTATCTTGCTAACTAAATATTTATTTGGAAACTTTAACATTTATAAATGTATGAATAACATGATGAAAATATGACTTCGAAAAAGTGAACTCCCAATTTTTTCTCTGATGAGATGCTAAATAACCAAAAATATTGCTGTTAGATTATGACTGTTTGACTTTACAAATGGCACCCCATAGTTTCAGTAATGCTAACAAACGTGTCTCATCTCCTAGAAAGATGCTTTTGTCACTGATGAGCAACACCCTTATGAGATCAGACATGAATCAAATTCTTATTCAACTCCATCCTCTTATCGACTCACCTGGCCTGGACGGCTTCAGCCGATGTCATCCAAACCACTTCCTGTTACTGGTCTCGACACAAATCTGAATCGTGGAGAGAACAGCAGACGTAGATGCAGGATGTCGACGTTGGTACACAAATGTTTCTGTTGCTCCGACAGACGGAGTCATCTTTTATGAGCTTAGTTCATAGAAACACCAGAACTTCCCAGCTGAGTGCTGACGACAAGATCCGTCCAGGAGCGTCGAGGAAAACCGAGTAACCCGTATTTCGTGTAAAACATAAACAAAACCTAATTAGTGTTTGTTTTTTAGACCAGGCCAAACGATCTCGGCTTCCATTGAACCTTGCTAGCTTCAGCCTGTTAGCACTTCCTGTTTAGCCTGGAGGGTCCCTTTGAGCCTGATCCGTGTGGGCATGTAGGTTCAGTACACGGGTCGTGTTCGTAGGGTTCTGCTGATCCATGTATGAAGATGTTCTACAGAGCTAACGCGAATGTTCACGGTCCACGGGTCGGGGTTATACAACTGTGTGTGTGTGTGTGTGTGTGTGTGTGTGTGTGTGCACGTGTGTGTGTTTGTGCACGTGTGTGTGTGTGTGTGTTTGTGCACGTGTGTGTGTGTTTGTGCACGTGTGTGTGTGTGTGTGTGTTTGTGCACGTGTGTGTGTGTGTGTGTGTGTTTGTGCACGTGTGTGTGTGTGTGTGTGTGTGTGTTTGTGCACATATGTGTGTTTGTGCACGTGTGTGTGTGTGTGTGTGTACGCGAGGGTCTGTATACGTCTGTAAACGTGTCCCACCTGAACCAGCAGGTACGTCCAGGTCCAGGGTGTGCGTAGAAAGTCACGTATGCAGTGGTAGAGTCGGCGTCAGCAGCTTTTAGAGCATTAACCCGAGTCGTGCTGTGCCTCCTTATCTACTCTTCATGTATCTTGTTTCATGTAACCTGTGCAATAAAAACTCTGAATAAATAAGCGTAACCTCCGAGTCTGTCGCGTCTGCAGGAGTTTGTTCAGAAAACATCAGGATGTGTGGTTTTACCGTAAACAGCTGCACACACACGTGCATATAAGTAAGTAAGTAAAAGTTTATTTATAGAGCGCCTTTCACAGATATAAATCACAAAGCGCTGTACAACATGAGTAAAATCAGGGCAAATACCTCTAACCCAGGGGTGTCAAACTCATTTTAGCTCAGGGGCCACATTGAGGGAAATCTAGTCCCAAGTGGGCCGGACCGGTAAAAAAAAAAAAAAACTTCAGATTGTTTTCTTTGTTTTAATACAATCAATATGAAACAAGGCTGGAGCCTGAGGACAGTGTAGTACAAGTACAACACCTGAAGTGTACTTGAAAATTTGAAAAAAAAAATCAATACATAATAAAAACATTCCTTAGTGATTCCAAAGAGCTTACAGATCACATGGCAAGATCAGTTTCATGCAGCACTTAAAGTATATTTGACTCATTTTACTTTACATCTTTTAGCTTTCACCAGCACATCAATATCAGAAGTCACATCCTGAGTGGCGGCCAACTTCAGGATGGGATTCAAGTTCTTGTGTGAGCCTTGAACGCAGCTTTGTTTTATCTATACTCATTACAGAGAAAACTTGCTCACAAAGATACGTTTATTTTCACTCTACATTGTAAAGTATGAAAATAAAGTTTTCACAACCATCTCGCGGGCCGGACTTAACCCGCTTGCGGGCCGCATCCGGCCCGCGGGCGGCTTGTTTGACACCCCTGCTCTAACCAATAAAAACATCAGAAAAACAATAGCAGTGATAAAATAGAAAATAAATTCATGAGTATAAACAAAGTGAAGGTGTGAACCCAAACAAAGCCATCTTTTTGAAACATTTAGGGAGGGAACACCTGGATGAAAAGGTGAGTTTTTAGATGATTTTTAAAGACCTCCACAGTGTTAGAGAGATGGAGATTTGAAGGTAGACTGTTCCAAAGTCTGGGGGCAATAGTCTGAAAGGCCCCGCCCCCTTTGGTTTTCAGTCTGGTTCGAGGAACAGCCAGGAGGTTTTCAGATGTGGATCTAAGGTTCCGAGAGGTGGTGTGTGGGGATAAAAGCTCAGATAGGTAGCTTGGAGCCTGGTTGTTAAGAGCTCTATAGGTCAGGACTAGAACTTTAAACTGTATTCTATATTCTACCGGGAGCCAGTGGAGGGACTGTAAACCTGGAGCGATGTGAGCTCGTCTGCTGGATTTGGTTAGGATATATAAGTGTGTATTTATACTGTATGTGTAGAAATGTGCATGTGCCTAACAATGGCTAGTATTTATACAGTACCTTCTAGAGTCCTATGAGCCCCAGTGGATTTTACATCTGCAGCTGAGCGAACACGAGGAGGAGCGCCGGAATGAGGGGAAGAGTTGTGGATCCCTAAGAGCCGCTCGTCCTGGTTTCTGCAAACCTGAAAAAGATCACGTTTGTTTTACCAAGATCAGGAAAACAGACGTCCGTTTGCAGGAATAAGAGATTTTAGACGGTTTTCATTTGAATGAAATAACAACCAGAATGGTAAAAATAACATCTTCAGATAAATCTGCACATTTTTGTCATGTTTACTTTGTTTTCAGAGTTATTTTATATCTACATTCAGATTTTTGTTCTGTTTACTGTAGCGACGCACCGACATCCGTGGCAGCCTCGGTCATGCAGGTAGCGTGACGCTCAGGTGAGTTTCAGTAACATCCACCCCGTCAGACATGTGGGAGGAGGTGGGGCGGTGCATGGGCGGGAGCTGATCAGTGCCTCTGAGGAGCTAGCTCAGTTTGTTTAGCTGTTTTGCTAACAGCTAATTAGCTTTTTCAACTCGCCTCATCAAACATTATTTTTCTTTAATGTTAAAAAAGAGCAAAAGGATGCCGTACCAAACTGACTCAGGTCAGTGGTTGTACTTTTCTGTGGCGTCAACACGACTTCATGCAGATGTTAAAGGTTAAAGTGACCTTTGGTGACCCTTTGCTGCAGCCATGCGGGGTCTCCACTGCCTCATAAACACTCCAAACGTCACGAAACCCCTTAAAAACTGTTTTCTGTTGGTGTTTGATTTAGGAAGCATGTTCCTAAAAGAAGTCTGTTTGAAAACATCCCTTATTGTGATGTCACAAAAGGAGAATTAGCATAGGAAACCCTCCTCTGCTACCGTGCAGGATTTGGATTTGGGTTGATTAAGATCTGGTGTAAGTCAGGCTTTCAGCCTCTTTTTGGGTGAAAACATCATAATGTGTCCCTTTCTGAGATGTTTATGAAAAGTTCTTCCAGGATTTCCTGTTTAACTATTCCAGATGAAAACTACGAGTCTGGATGTTTTTCTTTTCTGTTAGATCCTCGGCTGAAAACTCAGATGACAGTTGAGTGAGTTTTAATCCAACTTGCTCTATTTTTATCGTCTGCCTGTTCTGTCAGAGCGGTTCTATGTTCTGTCTCCTGTCTGCGGGTCTATTCTTAGTCTGTCTGAGGCGTCCACAGCCGTGCAGAGCTGCTGCTCCGGTTCAGGAAGTCTGCGACCGAGTCCAAACGCAGAGAGACAGGCAGGAAGAGAGACACGCCGCTGGTGAGACAGGAACCAGAGGGAAGGTCCAGCTGAGTCTGCGGGTCCGAGTCGAGCATGGACACGAGTCACAACCCAGATGAACTAAATCATCTGTCTGCAGAATAAGGATTTACTTAGTTTGACGGGAACGCCTGAATCCAGCTCCGGAAGCGGGATTTTTGTGGATGTAACGCAGCTGCTGGTCCCGCTGGATCAGGATTATGGTGGACGATTCTCCGTCTGACCATCAAAATGCAGAAATGTAAAGTTCTCTGTTTCTTCTGCTGCCTTTGCTCCGGCTTGCTGCTCCAGGTGAGTCCAACCCGACCAGAACATCGGTGCCGTCAGCGTGTGATGATCCTCAAACGGAGGACTTTGATACCAGAACCAGAACTGTTAGGGTTCGGCTGAGATGGAAAGTTCTGAAACTTCCTGAGCTTCACTTTTATTCACTTATTTATTTTTATAACTGAAACTTTCTGATAAAACATGAAGCAGTTTCATCTGGAATAACGGCGTTCCTCTGCTGTTTGGGCCAGAGGTTGCTGTTTAACACGGTTCAAAACTGCAATGAGGACGGGAGAGTGCCAGATAAACTATCAAACATCCAAACAGATCACCGAGAGAGGAGGAAATCTGTCGTAAACCAGAGCAACGAACAGGAGAACGTCCCTCTGAGCAGAAATCAGGTGGTGGTGGAGTTTTATTCCCACCATTTGGAATGATATCTTGGATTAGGCGTTGTTTGCACACTTCCAGGTCAGATTAGGTATAATGGGAGTAATTCTTGTTCTGGTAATTTCACACAGGAGAAAAAATAACGATATACTTTTACATATTTAGGGTTTAAGTGTTTACCTTCCTGTTGGTTTCTCGACTAGTCAGAGTCTCAGCTGCAAAGGACTAACCAACGCTTTCAGACGGATCACCAGATTTACAACAAACGATCAAATGAAATGAAAAGTAAAATGGAAATCCTGTTAAATAGAACCTAAAACAAAACACACGTAAAGGACAAAAGGTCCCAAACTGTGGTAGAGGCTTTAACCCCAACCCTTCGTCCTGTTGGTCTTGTTCAGCATGGAGAGGAACGCTGTTCGGGAACGACTAACTGCCTTTCTTTAGCTAACGGAGTGATCTACGGTGCAGAGCCGGTACCGGGCTTGGAAAGTGGTGCTACAGTGTGGTTGAATGAAGCGCAGCAACAATAGTGATGTGCACTGTCAGCCCGAATAAGTTCACTGAACTCAAAATTTATGAGGAAACTGATTACCTAATAATTTTTAAGTTAACTTATCTAAAAACTAAGTTTACCATAACTTAAAAAATTTGACCTGAATAAAATCAAAGCATTTAACTACCTCAACCTATAACTTAGCCCTTAAGCATCTTACAAAGTTTAATTTCACTAAACTTGCATATTTTATTTTATTAGAACTTTATTACATGTTTTTACTAACTTAAATATTATAACTTATATGAACTCTAAATGGACCTATAACCTAACCCAAATAAGCTGAATTTACTTAAAAATGACAATGTGGCAGGCTGGTGAAGGCAGTAACTAACACCAGATCATGAATCACACACCCACAGATGCTAACAGCCAATGAAAGTGGATCACTCAAAGTCAAGTCAAGAGCATCTGGTGTGAACAACCACAGTGTTAATAACAATGGGACGGCGCAGCCGTACAGCATTACTTTCACCAACCTCCTCCGATATGATGCCAACATGATACAAGAAGTAACATCTGCAACACTGAATGGAATAATAACTGAGAACAACAATCCTCCACAATAAACATGCATAAACACCCCAAAATAGAGCAAAATAACTGAAAATGTGACTACCCACAATGCACCACACCAAGCAGTTGTTTATTGTTCCTGCAATCCATCAGAATTGCTAGTTTGTGGTTGTTTTTCCTGGAAATCCAATTAAAAAAAAAAGATACAAGTCTTTTTATCAGACACGCTTTAGGGTTGACGTAAAGACGAATGGAATAATATAGAAACATTAAATAATAAATCAATCATTTTTTGTTATATTACTCATTAAAGTTAAGTTGTCTTTACTGATTAATTTGAGTTATGTTACTCAAAGAAAGAAATGGTTCAGATTAATTAAAATGTTTGAGTTCTATGTACTTAAAACATGGAAAAGTTTGAACAAGCTCAACACATTTGAGTTCTAAAAACATTTTTTTTATTATGAATTTTATCTGCTCAATATGTTTGATTATTTTGAACTTTTGGGTTTACAGCGGTCAGAAACGACTCGAGGAGCCGGAGTGAGGGCTGACGTGAAAGCAGCTTTAAATAAAAGGGCTTCAGCTGACCAGACTTTCAACGAGCATAAAGGAAGTTGATGCCAGAGTTGGGCTGATCAGCTGGTCTTTGGAATCTAGAAGGTTCTGGTGGCTGGACCTGAGGGCTCGGCTTGGAGCATAAGGCTTTAACAGTTCAGTAATATAGGGAGGAGCTTGACCATGTAGAGCCCTGAAGGTTCCAGTCAGGATTCTAGTCAAGCCAAGTCAACCTTTATTTCTATAGCACTTGTAAGCGGCAACATCGTCACCCCCATGTGCTGCACAACAGTAACAGCATAAACACGCTAAAGCTAACAAAGCATCATAAAGTCTTAAAACCACGGGCAGCTAAAAAAACGTAGCACAAGCTAAAAAGATCATAAAACGATGAAAAATCACAGGTAAAAAAAGCAGCAGCCACTTTATTATACCAGAGATTACAAATGCACTTTCAGATGTACGTAGAAAGATGCCAGCCTATCAGCTGTCTGCATCCAGGGGCGAGCTGTTCCACAGGGTAGGGGAAGGCTCCAGCACCCTTGGGTTTGAGTGGAGATCAGCTGATCTAAGCACCTTGGACAGGACACACGGCTGAATAAGGTCGTTCAGGTGGGGTGGAGCCAGCATCAAAATCTTAAAATCCTTCCTGAACTTAACAGGAGGCCAGTGGAGGTTGGCCAGCACAGGAGTGACATGGTCGTCTCTTCATGCCGCTGTCAGAAGGCCAGCTGCCGCTTTCTGGACCTAAAGCGTTTACGTTTGATAAAAACCCAAACTAGGAGCTCCGTGTCCGCGTCTGAAAACAGCAGGAACAGGAATTCCGCCTGAGGCAGCCACTGGATATCAAACTGCAATGTTGGAATATTCAAGAAATGGATGTGTTGAGTTTTTGTTCACGCTGTTTTGTTCCAGAGCTCCGCCCCCGGTCCTCAGACCTGAATCAGAGTTTTTAACTCAGACGCCAGGTCACTTCCGCCTCTGTCCTGGTGCTGAGCTCGATGAACTCTATTATTGTTGTATTTTGTGTCTGATTCATTTCTAGTCGACCCGAAGCCAGATAAGACCTGACAGAATTCCTGCTGTGGAGTCAGATCTTCTGTTTGTCCGATGGTTCTGACGAGTCTCGGCCCAGAACCTTCAGTAGATCTTCTCTTTTGGTTATCTGAGCTCCTGCTGCTTCACATCCGTTTGGATAATTAAGTGTTTGGGTTCATTTTTCCATGTCTTTCGGACCTCTGATTAGCCAGCGACCTGCTCAGGATGTTCCCACCAGTGTCCGTTTTGATGTGATCCATCCTGTCCTGGATAAACCAGAGAGAACTGGATATCTTAGTCTCCTCTTCGTTTCAGACTGAAACACATTCCGGAAATGCTGGAATCTGGAAAACTTGATTGTTTTAAATGTCTGATCTGGAAAAAGAACTGGTCCAAAATCAAACTCCAGGATCAGAAATATTCTGAAGGTCTGGTTTAACCTCTAATTGTTAAAGTTCCAGGTTTCTCTCCTTCACAAATATGAAGATCAGGGAACGTTCAGGAACTCTGGAGGATCTTCAGTGCAAAGGACCAGGGACCAGCTTAACCTGCTGACCTCTGACCCCTCGTGTGACACCCCCACCGCCAAACCCGGATGGTGATCAAGGCCAAAGGAGGCGTCAGGGCGTGTGGACCAAATGAGACGTTATTTATCTGGCCCGGTAGAACCCAGCGGGGTCACCTGGGCGGCAGGAGGTCAGCCACAAACATCAACCACAGAGTCAAATACTTCTGAGCAGAGGAACTCAAGAGTGGACGCCGCATCAGGACGGAGCTAAAGGTTCTGAGTGGGATCCGGTCAGGTCAGGTCAGGTCCTACCTGAGGGACTGACCGGTGGATCACCAGGCTCCAATAGGGAGGAGCTAAACTGGGGAGGAGGGGCTAATTCAAACGGGGAGGAGCTTAATAGAGGAGAGTAGATGTGAATACTTGAAGGTCACAGCTTGTAGGTGATGTTTGGATGCTTGTGTGCAGAACTTCACCACCATAATAATCCAGGGGCTTCCAGTTTGGTCGCACAGTTGCCCTTGTTGGGTTGCTCTTGGTGGAACGTTTTCCTGGTAACGGACGTTTTTCAGAGAATTCCATAAACGGGGTTTTGTCCACATTCAGATCCAACTTGGCAGACGTGACCTGAGTTAGCGACTGCTATAAAAGCGGCATCATCGTCACGAGAAGCATTCATGGTGCTCCACAAGCTGCTGCAGAGAAATAAAAAACAGGTCCGAGGACCAAACCCTGGAGGACACCCCGGGTACCTGCAGGTGACCCAGAACACACGGCTCCTTACAAGCCAGGCGGTGCCATCGTCCGCTAAGCTGAGGTGTGTTAGTCAACGCCCGACACGTCTCTAACGCCGGTTAGTCCCTGGGACAGGTTGTCTTTATAGAACCTGTCCAGAGTCCGTTGGAAGGAAGGACCTGTACTCCTCATCAGAACCAGAACCATCCTAGGAGTACCGTTAGCTCGGGCCTTTCCCAGCA